TTTTTTGGAACGCGAAAAAAGAATAATACACTTCGAACTAATGCAAGATGTGTATTCACTGCTAGAATTGATGCTACTGATGTTTTTGAACCCAACCAATATATAGATTATGACTATGAGTAATATATTTCTCTTCTTATATAAAAATTATTCAACTAATTGATTTATATACTTAGGGAAGATAGATCTACCCATAATGTAGTCTTACGACGCGCGTCAAAATATATCGACACATTTTATACGCTTGTGTGGCCCCAGCCTTAATTTTGTTCAAGTTTTACGTCCGAAAGACATTTTCTCCGACATTTTTTACGACGACTGTTGACGGAGAACGCGTACGTGTGCATAAACGACCAAGTATGGACTCTTTTACGCACGACGATTTCGTCCGTACGTATTTTAACCGTACGATTTTTTTTCCGTACAAACTTTGTTTTTACACACACGTTCGTAAGATTTCTGATTACGATTTCAATTTCTGCATTAATATCCATGATTTTATTTCTTTTTCAAAGCGAAAAAAATTATTTTTAAGTTCTAAGTAGTTTTGACAACGGAGATTAAAAACCGTGTAGTGTATATATGCGCGCCTAGTCACGTAGGTCACGTCTTTTCAATCGTTATCGCGACTGTATCACGACGACCGTACGGAAAAAAAAACGGTCTACGGTCCTGTTTGAAAGCCGCAATTAATTTCATGTGTTTACTATCAATTAAACACCGTGCGTATGAAACCGTCCTGTGATATCACGTCGATATGACACGGCGAGATTGAAAGGGATCACTCACACGTCGAACTACGAAAAAACGCGTTACCGGCCACGAATGGTACACGGCGTACACGGCGAAAAAATGGCAATCCTAAACGACTGAGCGTACGAACACGAAACATTCGATTCGACCCTACCGTGGGGATGACGATTTTTTACCAACCGTTCGTGGTGTCTCTACCGACGGAGGCGCGAGAACGGATATAAAAAAAACTATACCAATAAACGCGATTGTCGCACGGAATTAAAGACCAAAAACACAACAAAAAAGACCACAAACACACACGCCTCACACTTTTTTCACCCGTCAATAACGCATGACGGACAATAAAGCCGGGTTCACACTTCACCGGGCCACGTAGTGTCTTCTAAAATAATTATCTCTGATTGGCTGAACCATGTTGTTACATCAATGTATACCGTATAATAAATCACAAGTTACCTCACTAACCATATGTTACCGTGAAATTGATTTGAACCAACTTTGAAACGTGAGGTTATCGATTTTAATAGTAATAATTTAATATTCCATGGATACATTATATATAATAATTAAGGCTCGGAAGATGTTGCATTTGCATGATTTTATTGGGCTATTCAATTTATTGCTAAGTAACTTTAAAATTATTTTCATGATATTATGAAAAACATATTAAAAGTTTATAGTGCATATTTTTACATATTTAGTGATTTAGCAATTTTAAGCACATATTTTTTTAATTTTGCCATTTTTTAGAGCATGTTTGATGATTATTTGTCAGTGGCCAGTTAAATAACTCGTGTGAGAAAAGCTTGGACTAATTTTTCCCTGTGGCCCTTGATTTCTCTCCACGACCCTGTGTTTATTTGTGTGTGTAACATTTACATAATATATACCGTAGGTACATATTATAACTTACGGGATATAAGTACGTGTTAATTCCGAAAAACATAATCCGCCAGCGCATCATTGTGTTATTATTTTATAATAATTAAACAGTTTCCAAAGTTCAATGCAATGTAAGAAAGTACAGATAAGTTTTGTCTAAACTTTAATTAGACATCACTTGTTTATTATATTATATGACGCTAATTTATTGAGAGACATGCGATAGTAAATACGCACAATGTATCATATTATTATGCATACATGATTGGTACATTACATCATTTAGTGTGCGGAAAAAGTATTTTGTAATGATGACAACATTTTAACTGCAGTAAAACACCATAACTTGATTATTTAATGACAACGAATCAAGCCGATCCATTTAATTAATGGTTTCCATTGCGGAAAAGGAAAACAACAGCAATTGATTTTTCTGATACTGGTAATTGTATTTTGATGGTATCTGAATAATTATTTAGCTATGGTTGGTAAACGAAGTTTCGGAGTATTCTAAGAAATAAAGTAATTAATCAACGGTCATAGGGTTTGCGGGTTATTGGGTTTCTATTCACGCACGAGATATGTAATAAGTAAAAAACACTCATAAGTTCCTGCACGACCAAATGCACCCTATAGAAAGTTCTTACAGATCAATTAAAAATATACACATATACATATACGCAGAGTAGAGTCATGGGGGGGCCTAGGGGGCATACGCCCCGGCGCCAAAATTGTTTTCTATAATATTTCAAACTATATATAAATCAAATATACGAGAAAGATTATTGTTTTACAATTATTTTGGATTATTACAAATTTTTTCTGAACAAATTTCCGACCATGTTCCACTAATAATTAGTCAACTGCAACGTTTTAACAGAACGATGGGACAACTACGAGACGACGACGATACTCTCAATGAGTGGTAAGTTTCAGCACCAATGGATTAGATTCTTTTTTTCAAGTACAAAACTACATAATATAGTGTAATCGTTAACTGTGCCAATGTTCAAAAACTTCTCGGCCACATCTGCGATAAATGTGATCGCAACAATTAAACAACGCGTTAATATTAGAAAAAACCAATAGTCATCTTTCATTTTTTTATTTTTTCAGTCACATTCATTATTTTATTATTTTTTATTTATTTTTTTTTTCCTTAAGCCAAACGGATATTTATAATTATTGTCTGGTTTAAATTTTCAGCGAATAATAGCACATTCAAATCAATGATCCGAAAATTACAGTCAACAAAACAAAACACGACGCCGTCGACCAAAAAGAAAAAAAAAATGGCGTCGTAACACCACCGTACATCAGTCCGGGGTTTGTCGTGACGGTACCAGAAGTTGATATTTTGTTACAACACGACAAAAAATCATAAGCTCTGCGTCGACAGAACGACGGGACATCAGCGAGACGATGTCGACACTCTATGAGCGGTGTTAGCGGCACCGGACTAGATTTATTTTACTACGACGCACTTCCTTCCATACGGCTCGAAAACTAGTCTGCATTGTTATGGAATCGGAACACACCTCGATCAGCTGTTTGCGCGAGATCTCGGAACATTACCGTTTCAACCTAAACCGAGTGAAAATCGTGGTCGTCGTTTTTGCGTTTACGTTTTTACCACCCGTACGCCTGATGTTCTCAGTGTGTTCCGATTCCATAACAATGCAGAATAGTTTTCGAGCCGTATAGAAGGAAGTGCGTCGTAGTAAAAATAAATCTAGTCTGGTGCCGCTAACACCGCTCATAGAGTGTCGACATCGTCTCGCTGATGTCCCGTCGTTCTGAGAACATCAGGCGTACGGGTGGTAAAAACGTAAACGAAAAAACGACGACCACGATTTTCACTCGGTTTAGGTTGAAACGGTAATGTTCCGAGATGTCGCGCAATCGAGGTATGAAAAAAACTGGACCGGACCGCACAAAGCAGGACGACGGCCAAATGAAAAATGATCGGCAATGGGTACGCGGAGGTCGACCATCCTCCCGCGATCGAGACGCATAAACAAAAAGCTGCGAAACGTACATAACCGCATTCGGGCGATTCGTCACGTGTCGTCGGACGATAAAGCCGCGCCAGTACGCCGAATTCATGCGTGTTCCTCCAGTATATCGTGCGTTTATTATTTTTCCTCGTCGAGAAAAAAAATACATAGAACATACATACGCGAACTCGCAAACAGAAAACGGGTCGCCATGATAATAATCGACTCGATTCAGGCATGGATTCAGGGGGGGCTATAGGTGCTTGGGCACCCCCTGTCGTTCGTTTAAGCCACCAACAAAATAAATTTATAAATTTAAAATTACAAATCATTTGTGTTATTTTTAAAAATAAGAATAATATTATCGGTGCTTTCCGCCGCCGTCGTCTCTGTCTCATACGACGATAACAATAGCTATTTTTAGTTTCTATCGTCGTATAATACCCATATATTGTAACGACGGTGGAAAGCCAGATAATTATTATTATAATTATTATTCAGCATACGCTGTCAATAAAATTGCTATATTATTATTTTGTTTATGAGCAGGGCTGTGAATTTCATGCATTTGCTTGTTTTTTTTTCTACATCGTATAAGAAAATGGATTTGATCAAAATTTGTTTTACGTTATTTAAAAATTAAATACGAAATCTTATTTTGCATATTTTTGCATATTTAACCGGTAAGGGCATATAAATGCATGATTACAGATACAATAGTTTATTGTCTATATCTGTGGTTAAAAGTTAAACAATATCTATTTTATATTATGGTTGACAAACCGATAGTGTTGTCAGCGCCTCGCGAGTGGTAATGCGTTGTTCGTCGGAGTTCATACATTTTCTATTAATTTAATTATAATTATTTTATAATTTGTTACATTTAAATTTCAAAATGTCAAAAGAAAAAAAGACAACATCCAGTTGTCTACAAAGCTACGTTACGGAATTTAGAACGGGAATTTTATCAACAGATAACAACATTTTGTTCTACAAAGTATGTAATATGAAAGTTTCAAGTGAAAAACGTTTTTCTGTAACTCAGCATATCGCAACCGAAAAACATCGTAAAGCTGTTAAACGCATTGAAGAAAAAAAGGATAAATCTCAACAGTTTTTGTTACAAAATTCAATGACAAAATCGTCATTCAAATCTGATTTATGTAGAGCTATGTTAAGTGCTAATATTCCTTTCAATAAACTGAACAATCCACATTTCAAAAATTTTTTGGAGAAATGTTTATCGGAAGTTATACCAGATCAATCAAAGTTACAAAAATCATATGTCGACAGTTGTTACCAGGAAACTATCAGAGAAATAAGAAATAAAGTGGCAGAGAAAAAAATATGAGTTTCAATGGAGAAATGACGGATGCTGAAGGTCGTTACATAACCTCCGTTATAATCGGAACACTACTCACAGATTGGCCAGGTGAAATTTTTTTATTAAATGTCAAGCAATTAGAAAAGGCTAACCATAGTTCTATATGTACACTATTTGAAGATTCTTATTAATAAGATATTATTGTACACAAAAATGGTCCATGTAACATACACAGTACATGGATTAAAAAGAGTCGTCGAATAAATCCGTATTCAATATCCCGAAGTAGATAAACTGGTCGCTAATATAAAAAAATTATTTAAAAATTCACCATCTCATGTTATAAAATTTAAGACTGTTGCGCCTAATATATCTCTTCCCCCTGAACCATTCTGACACGATGGGGACGTGGATTTCCACTTCAATTTATTATAGTGAAAACTTCCAAATTGTTGAAAGTTTTGATGAAAATGATGCGCTTTCAATCAGGAGTGCTCAAAAAAATTTCAAGCACCACATATTAAAGGTAACTTGGCTTTTATAAAATCAAACTTTGAGTGCCTACCTATGGCTATAGCACGTCTTCAAAAACAAAGCATAGCATTAATAGAAACGATACAAATTATTGAAGATGTTTCAGTCAAGTTCAATAATTTAAAAGGCCAGATTGGAATCAAAATTAATGAGAAATTACAAACAGTTCTAACTAAAAATAAAGGATTTCAAAGTGTTTGCAATATTTTAAAAATATTAAATGGAGAAGAAAACGTTGGTTGTTTATATATACCTGAAGACTTAACAAGTAATGATATGGCATATTTTAAGTATACCTCTACTACGTCAGCTGATATAGAGCGTTCATTTTCATACTACAAAAACCTCTTGGCGCCAAATAGATCATTCAAGCTTGAAAATATAAAGAAATCGCCGATTGTTCAATGCAATTCTTATTTTGAAGGTAAAAAAAAAAATTGTAAAATATCTATAAAATAATGTCTTCTATCAATATTAAATATTTTTTTCAGGCGACGAAGAACAATATTGGAGCCACATTGGAGCATATTTTTTTTTATTTTTTTTTATAAGTCCATTTTTCAAAGACATTTTACAATTACAATATTTATTTAAATAAAACATTTTTTCATCCAATATAATATGTGTGTATATTTTTTTTCAAATTGCATATTTTAAAATTTTATAATGCATATTTCACTTGTTTTTAGTGCATAAATGAATGCATGCATGCATGCATATGACTTTTTTAGTGCATGAAATTCACAGCCCTGTTTATGAGTCTCAGTTAGTTGGCTCGTAACTGCCTGTCGAATATAATATTATATGATTGTTAGTAAAACACGGGTTTTTATTACACCCGGCTTTAAATATATAATAATTATTTTACGATGTCGGATTCTAAAAATGACTCTGAATCTCTCAATAAACGTGATCGTTCTGTCAGTACTCAGAGATCATTAATGTATTTTTTGCAAAGAAAATTCGTTCAGATGAGATGCAAGATCGATCTAAAGTAAATAATGAAGAAAATGTAAGTACTAGTAATGATATTTTTGCACCTGTACATGATAGTAGTTCTAAGGATTTACAAACCGATGTTGACAATCATATACAAAAAAATATTTTTGTTGATGCATTAGATATTGGTAACTTTATTGACAGTTAAAGTTCAAAATTAATTAATGATAAAAAATATCATGCATTGATAAAAATATAGAGACCGGATATTTTATGTAATTTTCCCAATGATAAATATTTAAGAAAATTTCAATTAAAATGGCTTAACGATTTTCCGTGATTATCTTATAGTCAAAAACACGAAGAAGTTTATTGTAGAACTTGTGTTTATCGTAATATAGTGGGGAAAAGTAAAGAAAATGCAGGTCAATTATGCACCAAGCCATTAAATAAGTGCAAAAAAAGCTCTCGAACTATCTAAAAAACATTTAAATAACGATTATCATAAATTTTCAATTATCAAAGTGGATGATTTTAAAAATGTTATAGAATCTACTGAGAAGTCTGTAGCTATTAAATTGAATTTAAATATTCAAAAGCAAATTGAAGAAAATCGAAAAAAAAACTTGTGCCGATCATTAATACAATTTTTCTTTGTGGTCATCAAAACTTTCCTTTACGTAGTCATCGTGATGATGGAGAATTTTTTCAAAATAGTGTAAATAATGAAGTAAATCTTAGAGAGCTTTTCGTATAGATTCAGGTGATGATGTTTTGAAAAACCATCTTCAAAATTATCTGAAAAATGCTAGTTTTATTAATAAAACTACACATAACGATTTGATCGATTGCTGTGCTAGTGTAATTCTTGGTAAAATTGTAAATGCTATCAAAGAATCAAAATATTTCCCAATACTTGTTGATGAAACAACCAATATAAGTACTAGTGAACAATTAGTTTTGTGCATTCGCAAAATTTTTATAATAAAGTGCAAGAAGATTTATTAAAATTGTTGAAAATACAACTAGTTATAATCTTTCCAAAGTAATAATACGCCAATTAGATGACTTAGGGCATAATATAAAATATTTGCGTGGTTAAGACTACGACGGAGGGGCTAATATGTCCGGAAAATATCAAGACGTACAAGCTCAAATATTAAAAATTCAGCATCTTGCTTTATATACACATTGTTTAAATTTAAGTATATCAAAAGCGTGTTCTATAGTTTTGATTCGGAATATTGTGGGTAACATACAAGAGGTTATAATTTTTTTCCGCACGTCACCAAAACGAATGTTACTCTTAATCTTTATCAAACGTGTTACCTAATTCTAAATTATATAGACTTAAATCTGTATGTGAAACACGCTGAGTTGAACGACACGATGCAATTATTCAATTTTTGAAATTATACGATATTATTATAAATTGCTTGGACGAACTTGGAAACCCTAATGAGGAAACTACACTCACTACTTGTAAAGCTAATAATTTACTAAATTGTATGTTGAAATTTGAATTATTAATTACACTTAAAGTTTTGGCAGAATTATTTTCAATTTTTTTTTTATTAAATTAAATTTGCCTCTTTTTAAGCAACTAAAAAATCAAAATTTGGAATATTTTCAATCATTTTTAAAAAGTTTATCTTTTTCCGGAGGTATAAACTCAACATTTATCCACCTTCAATTTGTTATAGTGGGTACTCGGTTTGACAGATTTCCTGGGTATCACTCAAGTAGGTATCCCAGGTAGCTAAAATGTAATAATAATAATACTAAAATATTATTAATTCATTAGATCTGAAAAAATACATTATTTTAATTATAAAATAATGTACTATTGTTTTATTTCCATTACAAGTATTATATTATTATAGAAGCGAAAAAAATATTATTATATTATTATTACTTCATTTTGAAATTAATATTATTATTAATGTATTACTAACTTATTATTATTTATACAACTATATAGTGTCATTTTATTTTCAATAAACTCATAATAAGGGCCCGGATTTTTATGCAATACAAATCTATAAAATAATGCAAGATTCGCCAAACTCTGATAATTTTACTTAGCGCACTTTGTAACTATTGAGTACTATAATATGTATTTATTACGCTTCGACTTACGGTCCAGTGTTTTCGTTGTTTTAGATTTTTTACATTTGTGATTTGTATGCTACAATTGGTACTTGACATAATTGTGTAAGTAATAAGTATTGTTTATTACTTATTACTTTTAATTTGTGTGTATCAATTATGAAAACTTCGGTCTGTGTTACATATTTTTGACAACAATAGGTAAGTAAAATTGACGTAGACCCGGTGACGGCCGATCTCTACAACGGACGCCGCCGACCGCATTTATAGTCTCCTAATCAGTCGACACGGATCGCGATACCGACGCATCGCACCTCGCACCTTCGTACAGGAGCAGGGAGAGCGGAGGCAAGCGTCGGCGGAACGACGAGTTGTTGTGAAAATTAAGAATGATGTTGAAAACATTAGTCATAATCAAACTCAAATGGACAACATTTTGAATGGAACTAGCATCAATAATAAGAAATACCTAAAATTAAAGAAAATATTAGTTAAAAAATTTGAAATTTAGTTGAATTTATTTATTTTAAATTAATCAATAATTATATAGGTACCAAAATACATGGGAAATTGAAGTATGTTTATACTGATAAACAATTTATTTAATGTATAATATATTTATATTTATATATATACATATATATATGATATTCCAATAAAGTATTGCATGCCGTCAGTTCAACCGTTGAAGAGTGGATGTGAAAGGATAGATTTATTAAATAATTACTAGACTGAATATTTACTATTTATTGACAAATTTTTTTATTTAATTTATTGGTAAGTTCAATCTAAAATTAATAAATTAGAATATTTTTATTTTTATTAAATGATTTATTTATAATGTTATTGGCAAATAATAACCAGGGTTAAAATATTTTAATTTTATTTCAGTGGCAATTGGTAGAATTTATATAATTAATCAACGAATACAGTGAACTATATGACTAGACAGCTCAATTTGACTAGCAATTAATGCATATTCACATTGCTTGCCACTAGTATCTTTTAAACAAACTAAACAATTTATTATGTAAGTATGAATTTTTCTTATAAAATAATTAATTTGATGTTTATCATAATTTTTGTTTATTTTTTAGGAAATTAATTTTGTTTGCTTTCAAATTTTAATTGCATTTAGTAGTACTAACTTTTAATTCAAATACCTACAAAAAAGATTGGATGAAAAAATACAAATTGTTATTTTGATTAGTCTCAGTATAGTACATCTCACCTGATAACTTAATAAGTATGTATACATTTTTTTTTTTTTGTATAGAATACATAAATTCTATAAATAATTTAATGTTTTTTTTAGTTGCATTCTGTGGTAAGCCCAAGTCTCAGCATAATTTAATAATCAATATAATTTAATATAAATAATAATAAATATGCCTACGTGCAGGAAATCCAGGGCAAGGGTGAAAATAATAAATAATTTAAAATAAATATGCCTATTCGCAGGAAATCCTGAGCAAAGGTGAAAACAACAAGTAGTTTTCACCTCTTAACATAATAATGCTAAATCGACAGTAAAAGGAAGTAATATTAGAATTACACTACTTTTACGTCATTGGAACTTGTATAAATACGGGTTGAGCATTTAGCAGTGGTGGACGCAGGGAGGGGTTTTGGAGGTTCAACTAAAGGTATTGGATATATAAAGTGTTAATATTTTTTTATTAGGTATGACCTTATCCAAATCCTGCAATAATTTACACTACGGAAAATTGTTCATGTTCTCTTAAAATTATTAATAACTAATGTGTTTATTGCCTTTAATAATTTAGTATTGAATTAATGTCCATTATTTGGTTTATTCACTCACAAGATAGTTTTTGTATAAAATGCTATTCATACATTATACAAAAAGTATATCCCAGAATACCTTATAATTATAAAAAGAAAGTCGGGTAGGCACGATGTACAAGGGGCTCTAAGCCTATAACCCTACATCAGATTAAAAATACAGGACTCACTTCCTTGATGCACAAAACATTGTAATACCAGTCTGATGTAGATTATTTGTCATGTCACTTAATTTGTGTAATCAAAGTAACTTACCTATTTTATTACTTTTTTTTTTTTTTTTGTATACATAGATTGATTTGTAATTATTTATTTTTAATGAAAAGAAAACTTTAAATGGGAGGGGCATTGTAAAAATGTAATGTTAAAAAAAAAAAGAAATGTGTGAATAGACCTTTAACTACTTTAGTCTTAACTTTATACCCCGAATCTAAGTACATACTATGTCATATACATTTATATTTGTATATTTATGAATTATTTTTTAAATACATAGGAATTGTTGATTTGCTTTGTTTTAAAATAAAAAAATGGTATCTTTTTAATATAATCATTTACTATAGTAATTAAGATAGAATATATTGTTTTAAAAAATATTTATTTGTAATTTACTAGTTATAACTCATCAATCTAATATAGTAATATAAATTATATTAAATAAATACATATGTATTTGTATGATTAACAACTAATAAACGCTTAAATAAATTAACAAATTATACAACATATCTTCTTGAATATAAAACAAAAAGCATACTATGTATAAACTATAAAGTATTGGTTTTTCCAAATTGACAATTTTTGATATCTCTGTATATTCATTATAATACCATAACACAGAATTGATTGAGTGATAAAAAAGACATATTTCACATAAAAAAGATAAATATATCTATTTCCTAAATTTACAGTATTATTGGGTTTTCAACTTGTGTCGGTTCTCAGTTGAATTAATCCGCTGGATTCCTCAACATTAAATAAAAATTGTTTTTATTGTCAACTATAAAAATTGTTCCAGCGTTAAATCAACTACAATGTTTTACTCTATAACTGAAAAAATGAACATGTGGTCATGCTTTATAGAAAGTGGAAAAATAAAAGGAATGCCGCTCTATTGTACAGCCAAGAGAGCTTGAGAGGCTTGAGAGGCAAGTTTCTAATTCATATTTTTTTAAGGTTGGAAAAAATTTAAAATTTACTGGAAGTTTCAATAAAAAAAAAAGAAAAAAAAGGAAATGTACCAAAACTACACAAGAATATTCCCAAATTGTTTTATAAAAATTAGAAGAAAAT